CACGGGGAGAACATGCAAACTCCACGCAGAAAGATCCCGGTGCCCCCACCGGGATGCGAACCGGCAACCTTCTTGCTGCGAGGCAACAGTGCTACCAACTGCGCCACCCTGCAGCCCATATTCAAACCAATATAAAATAATATTTTGCAATGTTTTTTTTCCAACTTTCCAATTTATTGACAATGCAATGCACAATATATTGTTCTATTCTTCAGTATTGAACTAAATTTGAGACCAAAGTGAAGCACTTCAAATGCCCTTAATAAACAATCAAAATTGTAACTTCCCCATAACCTATTTCTACCCAACAAGTATCATATTTATAGATACTTTCACAATCAGCACCCATCCATCCATTATCTATACACCGCTTAATCCTCATTAGGGTCGTGGGGGGCTGGAGCCTATCCCAGCTGACTTAGGGTGAAGGCAGGGGACACCCTGGACAGGTCGCCAGTCTATCGCAGGGCCACACTTTAGAGACAGACAACCAAGCACACTCACATTCACACCTACGGACAATTTAGAATCACCAATTGGCCTCAACATGTTTTTGGACTTGTGGGAAGAAGCCGGACAACCTGGAGAGAACCCACGCTGCACGGGGAGAACATGCAAACTCCAGGCAGAAAGATTCCGGTGCCCCCACCGGGACGCGAACCGGCTCACAGTCAGCAGATTCTGAAAAATAAATGACCGTTTGAGCTCACATGGGTAATAAAGGCATTGTTAAGATTTTCTGTATTACCAGCTGCCTGTCTGGTCCCTGTAGATGTCTCGGCTTCGCACATGCTCTGTGCAGGCCACAGACTGGCAAGTAAATGTCATCTTATCCTGCTGCCGTGTCTGTCAGCACAGTACTTTCACTCCTGGTCTGCTTTCACTGTACACTGTCCTTCCCTTTTATGGTCTACGTGGCACTCAGGCTGATTGCAGAATGGTTCTTTCTGGCTTGCCCTCTATTTGGAAGTGAATTCTGTGTTTTATTAATACAGTTTTTAAGCACCTCTTCTAGTGCCTGTGATTTTAAACCTCCAGTTTGACATGGCACTGTGCAAGGAGATTCTCTCCACCCATTAAAAACATTGTCATTAATGAATCAGAATTGGGGTACTTGCTGCTAGACTTTGGCGGTGCCTTAATTTGTAGCTGCATGATTTTCCATTAATGGAGCCCAAAGACAGTGGGAAGTAAATTCTCCAGAAATGCTCTGCCAAGTCCGCCCACTGTGGTTGGCATATCTCAGGAGTAACTGTGAAAGAAAGTGCAAAAAGTATAACCAAGACTTAATACATTGTTTCCACACAGCTTTATTTGGTATCTGTAATTCAACACAATGAACTACAGGTCTTTTAGTTTTGGTGAAAACGTCAACACAGTAATTGGAGAGAGGTGATTTTTATCACCATTTTCAAATAATTAAAAAGGTTGTGGTGTTGTTTCCCATCTTGGTAGCCAATTTTCTTCACCTCACACAACTTAAGTTCTTGTATTAAGTAAAATGTATATATATACAGTATATTAAATAAAATGCAAGTTGGATTTAAGGGTGAACATGAGCTTATCTTTCCACAGAGGCGACCTGTGTCACACAGATGTCAGTCCTGATGGCCTGTTGGAAGCAAAACAACTTTGTGGACAACCTGTGCTCTAATGAGATCAACACCTTCTATATCTGTGTAGCGAAGGCTCAGGTATGCACATGCTTCTACATCTTCACACATCTATATCACAGATGTATATCAGAAAGCCAAAATGTATTTTTATACATAAAAATGACACTGAATGTGTTTTAAATGTAATATCACAGTCCTCTGTGTAGGGTTGTCTGAAATAGGTCAAATGCAGATAGAACCTTTTTATCTGAAGTACTTACTTTCTGCTTGGAATTATAAAGTTCTACCTTGAAAAACAAAGAATTTTAAAGCATAAAATTATAATTGTAATGGAATGTCTACATGTATGAGAAAGTTAAACTTCATGCTTTTTATTACATTTGTAGAAGATTTATTGTTTGTTTTAGGACAAATTATCTGTTTTAAATTAATTTTGTCCAGTGCAGGCGTCAGTTTTAGGTTTGATATTTTACACATTATTCCAGGAACCGTTAGTTTAAGTTTCATTAGGGTTAGCTTTAACTACTTATTAAGTACTTTTCCTAAGTAAACGTACTTAGTTACATTCCACTAATAATGACTAAGAAAATAGAAAATCCAATTTAAAAAGAGAGAGAGAAAAGAATACCTTTTTAGAACTGTAACATTTTAATTGCACTGATTTTTTTTTAAATTTTGTGATACAGTGTGTTTTTATGCCAAGTTTTAGGGTTTTCAACTGCCTTATTGTCCAATATTACAATGTCATGTCTCAGAAATATGAGTAGTTATTAAAAGTCTGGTCAGGATCTAAATTCCTGAACTTTTTTTTATGTGTGTAGACTTTAGTAATGGCTTGGATCAACTAATAATCACATGTTTAAATTCAGTTCCTGACTATGTTAAGTGTGGCAAAGTTGAAATGAAACCACAGTAAACTGACTAATTTTTACATTTTAAAACATGGCTGACTGGACCGTCACTCAGTGCAACAATATAAAACCTGCCAACTTGTCAGTCAGGATCAAGATAGTTTTTTGGCAATAAAAACAACTGATGTGCTGTTTTAAAGACTTTCTGTTCTCATTTTACCTCCACAACTTTAACAGACCACAGACTGTGAGCCTTTACTGCTTAGTCATTGAGGTTTACTGTCCAGTAGTTGTCACTGACTGTTACTGGGGAAACATAGCTCTGAGTTTGTCCTAACAATATTTAATTATTAGGACAATAATTTTTTGTTTTTTAATCTTAATTTAATAAATCTAATTTGCATTAGACTAATCTAAGAGCAGAATGAAGACTGGCTTAACTCTCGAGAGAAACCTAAAGTCTCTGTCATTTCCTCTTTGAAGAGACGTCCTAGGACCAGGGCAAAGTGTGTACTCAGGACAGAAAAAACTGGACTGAGCAAGAATATGGACCAGTCACCCCATCATTTAGCTGTCTGTCATTCCTGACCTCATCCAGAGCTTCTGCTTGGTGAAGACAGAAGACCATTCTGGGCTGCCAGTGTGTCCTCGTTGTACTTTAAAAAACACATTATTTATTGAAACATATTTGTAACAAAGTCTCTTCATCCTTCACAGGCAGCTATGAAGAATAAATCTGAACAGAGGAACATCCAGAGTGGACCACTGCCACCAAAACAAGCCACAGGCTTGCTAAAGCGATACCCCAACCTGTGCTCTGAGATCTAAGAAAGAAACTGTTTAATGCATTTGCTATACAGGCTCAAAATGTGCAGGATAACAGAATCGCCTTTTGACTAAGTTCTGGAAGTGGGTTTCATCATGTTAAGGTGGTCAGAGTTGTCAACTACAGCATGACTCAAAAACATGGTGCCATATTTATTTCAATAAAAGATAAATAAAGCAAGAGGTAGACTACTGAAAACAGTGATTTCAACACAAACACAACAACATTCTGTGACAGACTGTATTTAAAGCACAATGTGTTTTACAGTTGGAAATATCAGGAAACTTTCCCTTCATCTCCTGGATTGATTCTGATGTCTTTTTGGCTCAATCCAATTTGGCACTCTGGCTTCATTCAGTGCAGCGGTTTCATTAGTGGATGTGATGGAATTATTCTTCTTGGATTTCATGGTTCCTGGCCAGAAGTTTACTATTACCCTGAAGACTAGGAATGCCTTGTCATTTCTGTGGAAATTGGGATTAATAAATACATGTTGGAATGAAATCAACACCACAGTTAGACAGTCTGACATAGATTATCAATAAACAAAGCCCAGCGTGGTCAATGAGGACATTCCTAAATGTATTAAACAGTTGTTGATCCATTTATTCTTTTGTTTCTTTTTCTGATTGTGCCCAGTGTTTCTGTCTGTCATGTTGCAACTCTTGACTACAAAAATTAAAGATTTGTGAGTCCTGTTTCTGTACACATTGTCCCACAATGCACTCTACAAAGTAAATTTTGTGGAGCTGCCAACCGCTACAAAAAAGATGACAGTGGCATTGAACAATGCAAGATTAATGCCTATATGTCTTTACACATGCTGTATTTATTTTTTACATCTGGATATATGGATAGATAAACAAACTCAATTGTTAATGCATGCCATGCCATTTGTGTTAACAGTATAAATCTAGCTGAATTGTTCTATTTTTCCATCGACACAGACTCTTAACATCAGCATTCTACCATGGATGGAGATATTAACACCTTAAACATTCTGTTGTCTTCGAGTAAAGGTTGGTTGCAGTGTTTTTGTGTGATTTTTGAAAACGTGTTTGCAGCAGGCCACAGTTTTCACTCTGCATATAAGAGCATTTTGTTAGAGGTGTTGATTGTAAAAGGTCTAGTGTTGAATGACTGTTAATGGATGCACAATAGTGCAGCTCATTAGAATATTGCATTGGACACTCTATCAGGTAAGTTTCTAAACTACAAAAGATCAGTCTGTAGCCCAGGCTTTCTGTTAAAATGTGTCATAAGTATGACATAATTAAGGTTATATGTGCAAAGTGGCAGTATTTATACAACTCTTTTATGTGACATGCTTTAGGTCCAGTGGTCATGTGCTGTACCTCTTGAGTGGCAGGTTAATTCTCTGCCTGACGAAGCTCTCCCACTGCCACATAAGAAATGCACAACTGTTTCTAAAGGCCTGACTCCTGTCCTCATCACTAGGGAACAGATCACGATCTGTAGCATTTATAGAGTGACAATTTAAGAAGCTTTTACAGGTCTTACCTTGGAATGATTTTTCAGGTAGTGAATTTGAACAAATTTATACCTGATGTGCTGAAATGTGCAGTAACTCAGGTATGGTTCAGGAGGTGACATGTTGACCAACAGCAAAATTAAAACAGCTCATGTTACAAATAAAATACAATTATTGTAATACCTCAGAAGTATAATTTCCTGCTAATGCTTATGTACATGGTTTTACTCAAGAATAATTCAGAACACAGGATATTTACCTGTAATGATGGGTGGTGGTTGTTGTAATATTTCCTGAATACCTGAGCATTTCTTCCCGTGCTGGCACCGAGACACTAACGCTATGATGCTGTTAACTCAGCTGAAGCAGTCTTTCTTTGCCAGTTGAATAGATTAGATCTGTACGATCCAACAAGGGTCTCTTCTTTCACAATAATCTAGATTTCAAAACAAATCGTACAAAGGCTGTCTCAAGGTTGATGTGATTTCGAATAAGAACTCAAGTATCCTTCTTACATTTTCCCTTTTTGTGAAGTCATCAGTGCGTGGCTAGTATGCACTGATATCCCCAACCTCTGAAAATCAAGCATCTATAAATAGACTGGGTGGACTGTTCCTTTCATGCTTCATCCCTTCTTGATGACCTCTCTCCCCTTTAATTTTTTCTTACAGTTCCTGGTTAAACTCAGTGTTTCCCACAATTAGTTTATTTCTGGCAGAAATACTGACAATTTGTTAGCGATGTTGTAAGTGTGGCTGTGGGTTCATGTGTTGTTGGAGGGACAGGAAGGATCTTGTGCTATGTTTGTACCCACCATTGTCAGACTGGCATTTCTGCCGCGTCCTTGTTTATCTGTTCGTCATTATAAAGAGCCATTTCCCCACCCTGCTTATCATTTCCTCCTAAATAATTAGACGGCAGAGAAAAATTCCCCACAGCCTGCAGCAATCGCTTACTGTTGCTTGTCTTCCTGCTGCTCATTCACTGCCCCACACCAAATTGAATAAGTTTTGCTTTTACCTCGTTATCTATGTAAACACTATCCTAAATTAGTAAAAGTATGCAATTAAACTGAAGTTAACCAATCACATAAGTAGAAGTCTTACAATAGGCACAATGTTGGTCACTACACTTTGGGCTTGAAGTCTACAAGTTTCTCACAGAAAGTCTGGATTACAAAGTGGAGGTATGGAGTGATGACATTAGTACTTTAGAACTTGACTAACCAGTGTGTCTTGGCCACTGATGCTTTGATTGTGATCACTCATTCTATTCAGAGCCCAGCAACTTAATGAAAGTAGAGTACTAAACATATGCTTTTATATGCAGGTGTGTGACGGGACATAAGGTCCATCCTTCTGAGGGAACCGTCTCCTGAGGTGTTAAGTTTCTCCAGACGTACACCTCGATAAAACTATTGCAGCCTAACACAACAGCCAAGTTTAAAACTGACAAGAGGTGTTGATTGAACTGGGTTATTTGAAGGGCTGTGGTTTAGGGTGAGCTTGAACTGCATTATGTCACATAGCGATGTGTTTTTTCAATACTGTATTTATTCTACTCTAAGAGACAAACATAAGGCAGACAAAATAAATCACCACTGTCAACACTGGAGTCAACACCACTCTGAAACAGTTTTAACTAAATCTGAACTTCATAAACTTCACAAAGGAAGATCTATTGCAGGGCTGTTGTATTAGACTTAGTACTATAATTGTTTTTTTAGGCCTACCTCACAGACTGGATTGACTTAACATATGTCCCCTGTCAAATAAAGGAAGAGCTGAATGGCTGCATTCTTAAATTTAGAATTTCTAATTTTGAGTGGTTATCAAGTATTAAGTAAAGAATCACTGGTTTGAAATCATTTTTTTGTTTTTGTGTTTTGTTTTTTTATTATTTTGTCAACTCCAGTCTGAAAAGGTCAGAGTCCTAGAACTTAATGATTAAGTTTTGTGTATTTTACTAAAAAGATCCAGTATTAGTATCAGTATTGCTGTCCAGTACAGTGGATACGTGTCCAGTAACTACATTAGTTTTCTCCTCTGATTCCATAACAGAGGAGTTGATAACTGAAGGCTCCGCCTCCCATTCTGCTTCTGAAAACTCTGGAACCACAAGTAGAATTGCAGTGTGAAAGTGAAGGGCTCTGTTAGGATGTTACGGTACAATAAGGTCTTTAAGATAAATTGGAGCTGGTCATTGAGAGTTTCATATGTGAGAAGCAGGAGTTTAAATTCTGTCCTGGATTTAACAGAAAGCCAATGAAGAGAAGCTAATACTGGAGAAATATGATCTCTCTTACTGGTTCCTGTCAGAACCCTGGCTGTAGCATTTTGGATCAGCTGAAGATTTTTAAGAGAGTTATTGGGACATCCTGATAATAAGGAATTACAATAGTTCAGTCTAGAAGTTATAAATGCATGGACTAGTTTCTCAGCATCACTCGGGGACAGAATGTTCCTGATTTTTACAATATCATGTAGATGAAAGAAGGCTGTCCTACAAACGTGTTTTATAAGTTTATTGAATGACATGTCCTGGTCAAAAATAACTCCAAGGTTCTTTACAGTAGAACTGGAGGCCAAGGCAATGCCATCTAGAGGAGCTGTCTGGTTCGATTGTGCATTTCTGAGGTGTTTAGGGCCAAATACAGTAACTTCAGTTTTGTCCAAATTTTTCCTTTAAACCAGTTCCTTTGAGCCCAATTAAACATTCCAGTCTCTGTAATAAGATGCTGTGATCCACTGTATCCCTGAGATCCAGTAGAGCAAGTACAGAAACTAGTCCACTGTCCAAAGCTATAAGATCATTAGTGACCGTCACCAGTGCTGTCTCTGTACTGTGATTCATTCTAACACCTGATTGAAACTCTTCAGACAAACCATTTCTATGCAGAAAATCACATAATTGGCTGCAACAGCTATTTCAAGAATTTTAGAAATAAAAGGGAGGTTGGATATGAGCCTATAATTTGCTACACCACCTGGATCCAGAGTAGGCTTTTTGCGTAGTGATTTTATTATAGCTACTTTAAAAACCTGTGGTACGTAGCTTGTTAATATAGAGAAGTTGATGATATTTAATACTGCAGTATTTATTAGAGGAAAGATTTCCTTGAACAGTCTAGTTGGGATTGGATCTAACAGACATGTTGCTGGTTTAGAAGAATTTACTATGGACGTGAGTTCTGAGAGATTTACAGCAGAGAAGCAGTCTAAATATAAATCTGGTCCTATGGATGCATCCAGAGCTGTAGCACGTAATACGACAGCTGTCGTTTTCTCTGTAATAGTCAAAGTTGTATTTGTAAAGAAGGTCATAAAATCTTCACTGCTGAGAACTATAGGAACACAAGACTCCACAGAGCTGTTACTCTTTGTCAGTCTGGCTACAGTGCTGAACAGAAACCTGGGGTTGTTCTTGTTTTCCTCAATTAGAGATAAATAATATTTTACTTAGTATTAATACTTCTTGTTTTGCAGACAGCTTTTAAATGCCTTTAAACTGTCTTTCCAGGCTAAGTGAAATTCCTCTGAACTGGTGGGATTGTGCTGCCTGTCCAGTCTTTGTGAAGTCTGCTTTAAGATGTGCATTTGTGACTTATACCATGGAGCTACTCTCCTGTGATTCATCACCTTCTTTTTCAGAGAAGCAGCAACGTCTAGTGCTGTATGCAGTAGGGCAGCAGTCCTATGGACAAGATCATCTAATCTAAATCATCTAAATCTCCCCAATATCTGTCAGTTTAAGACAAACTGTTGAGAAATGTAACGATTAGTTCTTTACAAAGGTTCTAGTGTCAGTTATTGATATGAGAGCGCCGTACCTCAGGCTCCTCCCTGTCGGACACACCTTCAGGCTGCTGGGATATCACTGGGCTGCACGGACCGAGAAAGCACTGTAGGCCGAGTAGAAACTCTGTGGAAGAGATTCAAGCACGAGTGTGTGTTTGTGTCTGTGTGTGGCAGAGAGAGAGAGAGAGAGAGAGAGAGAGAGGGAGGGAGGTCGGTCTGTCAGAGCGCGTCATTTTGCGCTCCGGAGTGCAGCACAGCGCGTCTGGAGCTGCGTCTGGCGGCCACAGGGCGTGGTGACCGGGGTGTGTGGACGGCTGGACGGAGATGGTTCCCTCAGCATTATGGACCGGAGGAAAGCCGTGCCCGGGTCTGTCCGCTGCTGTCTGCTGCTGGTCCTGGCTGTGTGCGCAGAGGTGAGCAGGCTGGTGTTCCGACGTGTCGGCGGGCTGGGCTTTGTCACGGATCTGCTGTAGGCTGCAGCCAACTGCTCCACTGTGGCACTGTACAGCACACTGAAGTTTCCTGAAAATAACTTTGATTCGATTTCAGTGCCTCCATTTTCCTCTGCAGTTGCAAAATTAATGTAACCTTTCCGGAACAATTATTGGAGACGTTTCAGCTTGTATCTATAAACTGAAAGACTGGTCCTATAATAGAGAACACACAGTGCCTTCAAATGTCAAAGCAGAGGTCCAGACCACGCTGAGCCTCTCCTGAGCTGCTGTCTTTCCCACCAACAGAAGGACAGAGACAGTACAGGACCGTTTTGTTTTTGAAACTCTAAAATCCGTTTAGTATTTGAGCCTCAATCAATAGATTTGATTGCCAGACGACCTGTGCTGCATAAATAAGCTGATTAAAAACTGTTGCCATCAGATGCTTGAGCTGAACAGCAGCTTGCTCTTAGTGTGTCCTCTCATACCATCCATCATCTGAAGAACTGCAGACAAGGAAATGAACAAAATGTAATTAGTCAGAATGAAAACTCTAAGTGTCAGTTTTGACTGCCAGCTTTAAAGCATGTAGGGTTTTAATGTCCGGCTGTTGTATGAAGAGTGTACGACATTAAGCTTTGTTTTTTTTGTTTTTTAACCTCCTTAGTGGTGGGAGCTGTTGACGGGGTCAGGGCTCTGCACTGTGTACCAATTTCAACTGCCTCTAATTCAGCAAATTCAAATAGAGAATCAGGAAGTTGAGCTCACAGTGGTAGCTTCAGTTGAGCTGCAGTGTACCCTAGTACAAATAAAACACAACACAAGAGCTCCAAACACTGCTGTCTGTCTGTTGTTCCTGTCTTTTTAATAGGTTGTTAATCTGTTTGATGCATATTATCAGCAGGTCAAAGTCTACACTCCTTTTGATTGGTCTCTGTAGATAGGTGTAAAAGGCAAACACACAGCTCATAACAGCGCTTTCAGGTAATCCTGATCGAAGTGTTTTACTACAGGATTTTCTGAACTTATACTCCCCGTAAACTCTGACCAAAGCCGAATGAAATGAATTCAACTAAAAAGGAAAAAGTACACAAACAGGGCAAACTTAAAGCAATACCTGTTCCTGTTTTCTCTTCTATGGAAGGTGCCATTTAACAAAAGAAGAAGCTCAAAGAACACAGAAAAGTTACCTAGTTATTTATATTTGCTTTTAATAAAACTATTTTTTGGTGTGAGGGCCCTCTGGTGGCCATGTGGCTCCAAGCAGCTGTTCAGTTTGCTAATGCCTTAGCAGGGCCATGGATTTGTCTAGCATATGAAATGTATGTGTTGTGTGTATGTTAGTCATGTTTGTGAATTAAATTATTGGAAAACACATCCACGTCCACGCAGCCAACCTATCTGTGGTCGCTTTATAAAATGCATTAGGACAACAGAATAGAAATCTTGTGCTATAATAATTACCACATGTCATTTGCTTCATGACTTCTCTTCACATTGTGTATTTGTTCCATGATGTGTGCTTTTCTTCCACAGGTCTCTGAACGGGGACACTTAGAAGGTAAGGGTCATCTTAAAGTCTGTGCAGGTCTTTCTTTGGGGGAATGTATAAATCTCAGAATCGGAATCAGCAAGCTTTTTATTGCCAAGTGAGCTTGCACACACAAGGAATTTGCCGTGGTGAATGAGGCTGGAACATCACAATAACATGACAAGAATAAATATAGAAGTCAGCTAGAGAAGCCATAGTTAGAACGCTACTGAAAGATGTGATGTTCTAACTATTGTAAAATCATTGCTTGGGCCTTAAAAGCAGTAAGTGACTGACATGTTGGGCTCTGATAAAGGCCTGCATGTTGTTACAGAGATTCAGCTTTACTTCCAAGCAAGTCTGATTCCCATGTGGATGTTGACCTGAATTAAATACTGCATGAATGTGAACTGGACTGCCTTTTTTGTGTAATATTAACATGGTGTCACTCTTCCTTCATCTGCAGTCAAAAAACATTGTCTATTAATCAGCGCCAAAGCCCTTTGGCGCTTTAACAAAGGCAGCCATTGCCTCAGCTAATTTTGTGAAATTATGTGTGGTGGCTGCGTAGTTGAAATCTTTCTTACACTGGTGTTCAAAGAAAGTCCATTACCTCTTGTAATTGTTGTCCAAAACAGTATATGACAATAATTCTTACAGATTGTATCAGATCAGATGTGTAAATGATGATGTGATGTTGTATTGTTTTTGTATCAGCTGTTACGTTCAGGTTACCACGCTTAGCAAAGGCTGCAGTCATTACATTCTTGTGTCAGAATGGTGCCTAACCAACGTTTCATTTTTTTTTCTATTTCCAATGATAAACTGAAGCAACTTGATGACTTTGATGACATTTCAGCCATAAATATAGTGTTTACCAAAACTGCTGGACAAAGTTTGCAATGCTCCTTTTGTAAAATGAACTAGACGAATGTCAAACATCAGGTAGCATTGCCGTAGCTCCTAATAAATATCTTTAGTTTGTATGTCTCTTTGTAATGCTGCCCAATGAAGGTCACACACTGTGCCCCTTTCAGCAAATTAACTAAAGTCTTATATGTCCCCCAAATGAGCTGCTGCTGTTCTGTGTTCTCCTGTGTCTGACTGATAGCTCTGCCTTGTGCTGGATGACCATTGTTTAGGTGTTGCATAAAACCTCGATTGAATTTCTACTGGTTTCTGGAATGGCAGAAGTAAGCATCTTTGTATCTTAACAGCTTTTATTTTACACCTCCAAGTTTAGAGCAACCACACAACACAAAGAAATATTTTTTCACCATATGAGACCTTTAATATAACACCAACATGAAAAAAGAAATTTCTGAGCTGTGCGCTTCCTTTGAACACCAGCGTATAGAATACAGATCAGATGTAGAGGCAGACATCAGTCTATGCTATTTTGCTCAGTGGTTTTGTCGATGGGTGCTGCACTGCTGTAGTGGGAAACAGCTGGCATCCAGGTTTCTATCTTGTGAGGTACTGATATCAGAAATTGAACTCAAACTGGATTTAAGCATTTTTGGTTTGTTGTTCTAGTGTGGTGCTATACTGCAGAGCATACTGTGTGTTGTCATTTTTGAAGAGCACATTTTCTATTATAAATGTGGAATAGAAGTAGCCATCTTCTTTTTTATTCATACGAACATAATCTTTGGCATTAAAATGTATTGTGCCAGACATTTGTTTATATTCCAGTTGTATTAGTTGTGATTTAAGTTATTGTCTTACATGACCCAACTATGAGTGCTTCACACAAAACGGTATGTTTGGTATAAAGCAAACACCACAACAGAAGGAGCTCATCTGTAGCACCATCCCTGTTGGATTCAATCAGACAGTAAGCTGGGTCACAAAGCTACAACTAGAGAGGAATAGCTTTCAAACAACAGTGTTAATGCCCAGAGCATCTCAGTCAGAGTCCAGTCCCTAATCCAACTCAGAATCTATCTGTCAACACATATATTTAGGGATCAGCCATACATTTTTTTTAATTTTTTTATTTTTCGGGCCGATACCGATGCCAATTTTTTGTAATCAAGAAAGGCCTGTAACCAATATTTGGAAACGATGCACATTGAATGTAATGTTTTAACAGCATGTGATAGCAGAGAACCTGTGATTCACAACCAGGCTTCCTCATTAATAAATGTGACTGTAACTGAATATGTAAAACAGGACTAGGAGTGATTTAGTTATTCCTCTGTTTATGTGGGATGGACTGACATCCATCAGTCGTCTCCTGCAGTTACGTCTGCTGTTCTCTGTTTTCTTAGTCTTTCACTGTTCTGTCACATTTATTGCCCACTAAGGTCCAGAACTTAACACATTATTAATTCCTGTTTTCCAGACTCCGTTTCAGGTTGATCTGTGGCTGCCTCCTAACTTAGCCGCTAGCCGTTAGCGTAGCCTTAGCCACTGTGAGAGAAGATAATTTCCTGGTTTGTGGCAACGGTTTGTGTTTCTTGTTCAGTTTTTGCAGTCTCTGCTTAGGAGACATTTCTGAGTCCACGGAGTGACGACAGACAGAGAGAGGAGGCTGCATCAGGCCTGAAGTAGTGCACTTAATTTATCGATTATCGGCCCATAAACATACTGATACTGATACCAACTTAAGGGAAATTGTAATAATACACATATGATATCCCATAATTCATAAAGTCCTTTACCATACCCAATCAATCTACTCTAATTCAGTTTTCAGCCTACAGTAGTTCCTTTATTCTCCTTTGGTCTGTGTGGTTTGCTGTTTTTTCCCTCTACCAGCAGTGTATGGTCTCAGTTAAAGCAGTGGAGTGCCTGTAGATTACCTGATTTTCATGCTTAATAAATTGCAGAAATTCTGCTTTTTTTCTTTCTTTCTTTCTTTCTTTTTTGCATGCTGCTGTGTTGGCAGGTGTCTACTTGTGCCAATGCTGATAAACTGACCATAGAATTCTGATTAAATCAGGGAGGGTTGTTGTGTCACATACAGTCCTCATGAATTAGTTTAATACATCAGTTTTGTGTCTTTCCTGCAGTTTGGTGACCACATTGTGTTATTAAAAAAACCACCTGCCCATCAGATGAATGCGTCATGTTTGACATGGACTACAATTTTATACTTTTATACATTTGTTTTTTACTAATGACTGCAGAAGAACCTAACCTGAGCCACAGCTCCGAAGCTGGTTCTGTTCTTACTGCTGAAATATTAAATATGAAAACTTGCAGGCAGTTTATGACAATCCCAGAAAGGGGTGGTGGAGCTAGTTATACCTTCCTGAATGCCCTCTGGTCCATAGGCTGTGGTGGGATCATGGCAGTATTAGGAGCCACTGCCACTGTTTTTCATTTACTGTTGACTCTTTTCAGAGTTTTAAAATACTCATTTGTGAATTAAATGTGACACGTCAGGCCTGGAGTAAATTTTCTAAATAATTCTCCAATCTGCTCTTATCTGTTGCACTCAAATTTGAGAAGCTCAGTATTTTAAGTGATTGTAACTTCACAATAACGATCACTCTAAATTCCTTTCAGAATCTTTTAACCTCATGCAAAAATGTTTCTGGTCCCACATACTGTACAACTATAGGCCTTGATCTTTATTTTACACTTGGCTGGACTCTAAACTCCATGCATATGGCTAACTTTCTGATCACAAAGCAGTTCTATAGGCATTGTTTACTCCAGTGAAACACATTATAGAGTCTTGCATCTTTGATGACGACTCTGCAGCTTATCAGCTCTCTTCTCTGATATGTTCCTAAGTTTTCCAGTTTTATTGACTCCGCTAACTGGTTCAGTGATTCAGGCTTCGAAGCTCTTGTAAGGAATATAGAAGGCCGAGTATGTATGTATGTATGTACATATGTATTAATTATTATTGTTGTTTTCGTTATATCAGAAATACCAACATGTACTTATTATCAAAATGAAAGTACACATGGCTTTGAATGGCCCCATTCTCAATGTTTGGTTGTTGCATATTACATTACATTATACATTATTATTGATTGGCTTCACGTGTCTAATACAACAGTATGCCATGTGGCACTATCTGCTTATTTGTTCTGTGTGTGAAGGAGAACATCCCATCCATCATAAACTTGAATATTCATCTTTAAATAACATAACATTTTCCTCTTGGCAGAGAGGTCTGTTACGAGGTCTGGGTGAAATTGTGTAGAAAGACTTTTTTGAAGCACAGAGCAGTGAGTCCCTTAACCTGCATTCCTCTTTACGTAGCTTTACCATTGTTACTCTTCTTCTATTAAACTGTGTCTGATACATATTCTGTTCCAGCTAGTTGCTGAAACCATACATTATAATGCTTACACTGAGTGAATTACTCAAGTAAAGCCTTGTTCTTTTTTATTTCATCATTCTATTTAAAGATTCTTTGTCTGTTGCATTATTTTAGACACATTTCACCCCACACATTTCTGGCAAATCTTGTTTCGAACCAAAGTATTGGACAGACAATAGGACTGCCCCACTGTTGGTACTTTGTGTAAAATCCTTCATGGAGAGAAAATGTATTTTTAAAGTGTTACTTATCCAACCAAATGAATACTAAAGTAGCATAATGTTTCCCTTTGTAGATCTGGTTTTCTTGATTTTTTTCAATAACTCTTTCTTATGTGTCGAAGCACATTGTTGCTGTTCATGTAATGTGGTTCAGTTATTAAAGATTATATGACTGACTGAGTAATTTTCTGCTTCTGCAGTGCCACTGTCCTGTTCAGAGGGCTTTACAGAACTGGGCTACTACAATGGCTCAGTTTCCCACACAGACTCAGGCTCTCCATGCCTGAAGTGGACTGACTTCCCAGACTACATGCAGCAATATCCGAGCCGAGGTCTGGGAGATCACAGCTTCTGCCGGAACCCAGACCGAGAGACCAATCCCTGGTGCTTCTTCAGGCAGAGCTCTGGTGCCATTGGCTGGGCCTATTGCGACTGCCAGCAGGGTGAGTTGTGGGAGGGCAACAGGTATCTGAGGATGGATGGATGAATGGATAGACGGACGGGTGGATGGATTGATATCACCAGTTGTTTCTTGATTCAGACAAGGCTGTATTAACCTTACAATGAACTAGGAAATTGTTTGCCTGTTAACCCTCTGTTCCTCCTTCTCTGTGCAGTGTGTACAGTTTTTTAGTGCTAAAATGCTAAGTTTCCCCATAAATATAATTTATTCATACTGACAGTCTTCCTTGTTGGAAATCTTCTTGTTGTCTGCAGGAGCAGCCAGATTGGTGGGGGGATCATCAGGCAACAATGGGCGTCTGGAGATCTACCTGAATGGCAAATGGGGGGCAGTATGTGACTCACACTGGACCGATCGAGATGCCAGCGTCATATGCAGACAGCTTGGACTGAGGTTTGGACCGTTTATATTGTAACGTATGTCATGTATGACATGTAGCGATGACTTGTCGAACTTGTGATTGTGATCAGCAATGACAAATCTACAACCGATGAATTTCCAATTTCATTGCAGTTTTAGTTAAAAACAGTCCCATCTTCAGGGCCGACATAAGGATTTGAATTGGTGTAGAAATGTCAGACTTGGTTTGCACTCTGAACTACATAGACGTGTGATTGCAACTTTGCTGTTGATCAGTAAGGCTATAATTCCCAATGCTCCAGAAGGTTCCAGACAGCTTCTCTGATTGAGAGTAAAGTAATACACAAAACACATTTTTGCGACCACACACACCATTCCATTCAAATTGAAGGAACTTAACTGCTCACATGTTCCCATTTAGATGGCTATAAAAATTGTTACATTTTATTTTCACAGTGTTTTGATTGGTTTAGTCCAGTAATAAAATCTAGAAACATTTGTAGAAACATTTTATCACTGAAAGGTGCTTCAGAGTATATTTATTTAAAGTCATGAAAAAAATTATTAGACCACCCTTGTTTTCTTCAATTTCTCGTTCATTTTAATGCCTGGTACCACTAAAGGTATGTTACCTGAAGAATACAATGAACACAACAAAAAATGGAGCTGATTACATAATACTTTATGTCCTATTTAACATGCTTAAGCTTAATTGTGTTCCCAGGGTATATGAGAGGCCATTTCATGTCATAAGCAGTACTGTACATGCAAAGGCCTAGAGTGGTTTCCTGCTTGCATTCAAGCTGTAGCACAACTCAGAAGATTTCAGCTCTCACATAATGCCTAAAACATTATGTGAAGCCACAAAGGCAGCCATCTTGGCACTGCTGGAAATTGGCATGAGTGAGAGACAGGTAGCAAAAAAACTGAAGATCTCCAAGACAGCCGTTCATTACACCAAGAAAAAACAAGTCCAACATGGTACTACCAAATGGCTAGCTGGTCGTGGCAGAAAGTGTCTTTCTAGCTCACGAGATGACCGTGTACTCATCTGTTCCTGTCTCAGGAATCATAGTTAGACCTCCAGGGGCCTTAAAAATGAGTGGGCACTGTCGTGAAATGTGACTTGTTTGGCAAGGAAAGTTCGAAACCGACTTCTTGAAGCTGGTCTGAAGTCACACAGGGCACGGAAGAAGCCCTTCATCAACTAAAGGCAGAGGAAAGCCTGGTTACTCTTTGCTGGGGATCACATGGATTGGACTGTTGATGACTGGGCTAAGGTTCTCTTCAGTGATGAACCCAATTTTCAGTTGATGCCCAGTCCAGCCAACTTGCTGGTTAGGAGGAAGCCTGGAGAAACCTACAAACCAGACTGTCTTGCCCCTACAGTAAAATATGGGGGTGGATCAGTGACCATCTGGGCTTGATTCAGTACGGGTAGAACAGGGCAAATTAAATTGTGTGAAGGGCGAATGAACCAGGTATGTACAGGGCTACTCTTGAAAACAGTCTTCTTCCATCAGCTGGAAAACTCTTTCCTGCCTCCAGTGACTGGATTTTCCAACAAGACAATGCCCCTTGCCACACAGCAAGGTCAGTTAAACCCTGGATGGAAAACCAGAACATTGGAATCATGCCTTGGCCTGCTCAATCACCTGATCTAAATCCAATTGAAAACCTGTGGAAAATCATCAAAAGCAAAATGGAGAACCACAAGCCCAAAAACAAAGCAAATTTGTTTGAATTTGTGCAACAGGAATGGACTGCTGTGACAGCAGAACAATGTCAGAAGCTGGTGGAGAACATGCCAAGACGCATGGCTGCAGTCATCAAAAACAATGGTTGTGCAAATAAGTACTAACTCCTGTGTGTGTCATGTGACTAAAGCAGACAGAAAAGAAAACATGGAATGCCTAAAAGCACTGTTTTTGGCAGTACAATAGCTATTGATGTAAGAACTTAAGTAAGTTTGGTTATTATCAGAAAACCATGGAAAATAGCTAGATATCAGCTCTTAAATTAAACTCTTATGAGATATTTTGTGTACGTCAGTTAGACTGGTGAGCACAAACCCCTCTCTTATACTACTTAGTTTCCTTCATTTTGACATCTACAGCATCTAGTCATAGCAGAGCGAGTAGACCACTGAACTATTTTCTATTTCTTCTACTTTGAGTTACCTCATAATATGTCCTAACCTGTGTGGTTCGGGCATATAGCTCATAGGTGTACATTGTGTCTGCTGTGAGCTGTTAAATCGATGGCTGGCCAGCAAGGCAAAAGACATATTTCTTGTCTACCTCTACTGCTGCTCGCCATTAAAGGCAAAATGCCAAAAAATATCTTTAGACCACTCTAATACACCAAGTTACAAGCATATATTATTCTCAACGTGACTTACAGTGGAAACCAGAGCTGTACACAGAGAAATTGCCAACGAGTTACAAAACTATACTAAAAAAATGACTTTACAGTTTAAATGGTGTCATCAGGAAAACCATTGAAAATTTCAGCTAACCTTTTGAAGAAATTGTGATGTTCGGTTGTATTATAATTTTTTGGTGATTTCCAAATAATTCTCTAAAAAAACAGTATTTTTATAGGGTCACTGTCTCATGAAAGTTTCAGCAACTCCTCAAGGAAAGAGTTTAGAGTTTAAATTTGATGGAATATACAATAAGCTGTGATGTATGTGTATACAATTTGTTATTATTCTATTCTACAGTTATTGGGAAAATTTACAAAGTACAAATGGTTTGTCATCATTTGGTCATAGTTAAAAACAAGAGCATTTGTTGCAATGAGTACAATGCTACCTGTATTTTTAAAAATGTAGCCAAACAGTAATATTAGTTTCAACCCAGGATACCACTGTAACATTTAGGGAACCTGTAGACAACATTTAACATGTTACTGTGTTTGGGTCAGATCACATTTTATAATGGATTGAATGCATTTTGTGTAACTTGTTATTGTTCTAAATTGTATGTAACTTGTGCAAATTCATTACAGTTAATTTTGCTCAGCTGAGTCTCATTACTGTTTTGGCACATTCAGACACCAGTGCCCTACTTACAGGAATAGATGTCTATTAACTCCAAGTTGTGGCTGCTTTGACCAGGTTGTTGCAAACAAAGTCTCTTTTGACCACTGTGGAGTTTGACAGCAGCTGTAAATCTTGTTGAGGCACACACCTATATGGAGGCCACAGGGTTTATCTATACTGCAAAAACATGTCTTTGTTGGAAGTATACAGAACAATATCAGTTAGTATAGAAAAATGCGCATTAGTTCATTTAAATTGTCATAGAAACAGATCCAATAGATCCTAATTGGATGTGCCCTGTAAGCAAGACTTACTCACCACCAAAAAAAAAACCAACTGATATTTAACTTAGATAAGTAAAAATATATTCATCCTAAAAATCTATGTATGTAGTATGTGGCTGAATTTGTCAGTGGTATATGGATGGAAATTTTTACGTGTTTAATAGTGCACTGTTATACATTGTCATGAAAATGAATGGGAGGTTCATGGATTATTATTTAAATGTCGCTAACGTATGAGAAACTTCTTGAATATATATGGCAAAAACACCCTTTCCTTCTTTACATCACAACAAATTTGTTCGTTGTCATTAGTATAAAAATTCTGCAACACATATACTACTGGATTTATGTCATTATTATTATTGTTGTTGTTGTTGTTGTTGTTGAGCACTTGTAATAAGTCACTTTCCCCACAGGGCTCAACAAAACTTTCTGATTCTGATTCTGGTCCTTGTGACCAGGCCTTATAGAGATTTCATTTCACATGATTACAGCACTGACACTGCACCTTATACACCTTTGAAAAACAATCTTGTTAGTGGGTTAAGACCGTGTTTCCTATTTCATCTGAGCAATTTGTCATTGAAATTCTTCTTTTTTTCCCCAAAATTTAAACACTTGAGGTTTTTTTTTAAAGACATTTCCACTTCCCTTGTATGGTGTGTAAAGGAGGAGAGTCTCTGTGTGTGTGCTCTTCATGCAGTGACATTGGTACGGCGCTCCAGCATTCCTACTTTGGTCCAGGTTCCCTCTTCCACTATGAGCGTTTAGGCTGCCGTGGTAATGAGAATTCCCTTCTAGAGTGCCAGAGCAAGAAGTTTGTCACCAGTGACTGTAACCATGGCAATGAAGCGGGGGTGATTTGTGCTGAACCTGAAGGTGAGATCTCGGTGTCACCTCAGATTATATAAGCAAAAAGCATTTGCACTGTTGGGAATACGCAGTCACTGTGCTAGGATGTTATGTCGTTAGCAGTGGTTTCTTTCAGAATTCATTTCAAAACACTAATTCCTATACACATTAACATTCACTCAGCTCCTGGTAATATATTAAAAGTAAAATTAACCAGTCACTATCCACAACTGACTTGGTGTTGACTACAGTGCTTACTGGTTCACCATGTTGTATGTCGCTGTTGCACTAAAAAATTTGCATTTTTAAAAACTCACCCTGTTGTGGTTGTACGTCAGTTATTGATTTAGATGTTGCTTTACATTTCGTTTCTCAGGCACTGGGATCCCTTTGAGACTTGTGGGAGGCTTGGAGGACTTTGAGGGCCGTATCGAGGTGTACCATAACGGCAGATGGGGAACCGTTTGTGATGACCAATGGGATGATACTGATGCTGAGGTGGTGTGCCGACAGCTGGGTTTGGGGTAAGCTATGCTCCTGATACACAAAGATTGTCAGGATCAACTCTGGTCTCAAATCCTTTCACTATGAAAGTCTGAATGAATACAGAAATAGTAAGAAGGCATGTAGACAACCTGCCTGCAAGCACGCATTCGCTTTGTTCGTTTGTCTATTTCAATATATAGTGATAAAAAATACTCTGAACGCAGTGTGTAATAAATAGGATGGATAAAATAAAATATTTCATGATGACTACCACCATAATTGATCCAGGTTTACATAAGCTGAACTGTGTCCAGATCAGTAGTGAAAGAAGAACTTAGATCCTTTGATCAAAGAAACACTGTAAATCCATAAGTAAAGGTCGCCACTCACAATTCTATCGACAGAATCACAGTCAGTTACATACTATGAATAAAATGGACAAATTAATTTATATGTAACATTGTCTATATTTATATAATGTCATGTGTGCACTACATATATATAAATCACAGTCTGATATATGAAATCAAACTGAATATATGGAATGAAAGTCTGAATATTTATAATGAAACTCTGAATATATATATAATGAATCTCTATGGGTTTCCATAGAGATGACGGCGCACATAGATGCAGTGGCCCTTTCAGGAAACAGCGAGAGGGAAAGTTTTGAGTATTTTGTCCATCCTAGACGTTCATTCCACAAAACTTACAGCCAAGAGACTTTGCTGAACATCAGGGCAATGAACATTGCTAAAATTGCAGTGATTGGTTGGGATTTGGACATACTACACCAACACGGAGTCCGATCGGAGACTACGCCGGCAGCTACCTGAGAGAGAAGAAAGCACAAGCGGTACAAACATAAACAACGGAGGACGAGAGCTGGGATCCATGCTAGGCTAAAGGCTAACCCCTCCAGTAGGGGTGCGCAATATGATATTAGATCGTGAACGATTAGAACATGTAGACGATCTGCCAAAGTGAGGAGATCGTATGGATCGTTTAGGTCACATTCTATAAATTGCAGTTCTATGCTGATGCACCAACACACCAGATGTATTACGTCATCAATCTGACCAACCAATCATAACGAATTACGGGCAGTAGCACAATTTCTTACCTGCCTCCTTGTTTGTGTGTATAGCTTAAATGCATGGAGAGCCATGGCTGAAAGCCAAATGGAGGAGTTGGTCTCTAAAAAAAACTCCATTTCCGTTATGTGGAATTGTTTTGGCTTTTCCTCAAATTGTCTATCCCAGAAGTTCATTCCGCAAAACTTACAGCCGGGAGACTTTGCTAAACATCAGGGCAATGAACGTCGCTAAAATTGCGGTGCTCGGTTTTGATTTGGACATACTACACCAACACTGAGTCCAATCGGAGACTACACCGGCAGTTAACTGAGAGAGAAGGAAGCACAAACGCTATGAACATAAACAACAGAGGAGGAAGAGAGCCAGGATCCATTCTAGGCTAAAGGCTAACCCCTCCAGACCAGCAGGACCGTCACTCCTGCTCTCCAATGTCCGCTCTCTCCACAACAAACTGGACGAGCTACGTTTGCTGGGAGAGACCCTCAGAGAATGGAAAGACTGCAATGTGTTTCCTTTTACAGAAACATGGCTCTATGACAACATCCCAGACACACATACAGCTGGAGCTGACGACATCGTTCTGGGTGGACAGAGAGACAGCTAGCTCTGGGCAGCATCTGTGGCTTCACCATCGTCACACTGTCATGTGTGTCTTTGTGTCCCTGAAGACCTACCAGGACCTGAAGAGGTTCGCCATGTTCCACATGATGGCGGCGCGCATGGATGCAGCAGCCCCTTCAGGAGGCAGCGAGAGTGAACGTTTAGTGTCTTGCCTATCCCAGACGTGCATTCTGCAGACGTACTAATTAAATGATCCTGAAGAAACGCTCTCTCATCTTGCCTGTACTACTGTGTATGTTGTACTGTGTACAACCATACAGCTAGAGAGGACGGCATCGTTCCAGGCGGACAGACAGGCAGCTAGCTCTGAACTTTTCCAGAGCTGCTGCAGGAGTAGGTCACTGAACATTGTCAGGGACTCCTCACACCCTCTCCATAAACCTCCTTTGTTTACGTTTGTATCACTTGCGCTTCCTTCTCTCTCGGGTAACTGCTGGCATAGTTTCCGATTGGACTCCGTGTTGGTGTAGTATGTCCAAATCACAACTGATCGCCGCATTTTTAGCGACGTTCATTGCCCTGATGTTCAGCAAAGTCTCTCGGCTGTACGTTTTGTGGAATGAACATCTGGAATAGACAACACATTCAAAACTTTCACTCTCACTGTCTCCTGAAGGAGCCGCTGCGTCTGTGCGCACCGCCATCTCTAAGGAAACCCATAGAGATTCATTATATATATTCAGAGTTCCATTATATATATTCAGACTTTCATTCCATATATTTAGACTGTTTATATATATATATATATACACACACATATATATGAGAATTCTCCATAACAATGTATTGCAGTAATAAATACTCATTATATAGAGTGCTTTTTTTCATACTTTCTGTTTATGGTGCATTAGGGCCACCACAAGAAGACCATTCAGGGTTTTAAAATGCAGCTCTGTGATCAAGTCCAAGTGACTGCAGTGTCAAAACAAGTTCTGCTAAACTACACCTAAACAAGGTGTAATGGAGAAAACTTTTGTGTCACTGGGCTAGTTGTTTTTTTCCAATCTTGCTGACACAGTGTTTTTGGCATTGATTTCTATAAATATAAAAAATAGTATAACAATAAACAATATCCTTAGGTAGTAACGAACTGTTACTCTAGCTACTCTAGTTATGCACTAAACATGGCAACTTTACAACTGTGTTTTAGTGTTGCTTTTCATGTGTTGCACAAATAAGATGTTGTTTGTTCTGATCAACAGGGGCGTGGCCAAAGCATGGACATGGGCTCACTTTGGCCAGGGTTTTGGTCCCATCTTGCTAGATGGGGTTCAGTGCACAGGCAATGAACTTTCTCTGGAGGAATGTCCTCATAGCAACTGGGGGCAACATAACTGTGACCACACAGAAGATGCAGGGGTATCTTGCAATTCATACACAGGTGAGAGCGAATGAAAGAAACACCTACTAACTGACACATGCATATTAGACAGCACTGTAGTTTTTCTTTTGGGAAACAACTAACCTTTGATCAAACCAATATGAAATGATAAAGATAATTCTAGTTGTAGTTCACAAGTTCTATAAGCAGGAATCCTTTGAAAGTTGTAATATCTAAAAGTGCATACTAAGTGCCAAGAGCTTCAGAGATGCACTCCCCAAAGCATGTAATCCAGCATGATATCAGAATGTTCCTGTGTGGCTGCAGATGGTGCAGTTCGTCTAGTGGGAGCAGAGAGTCACCAGGAGGGTCGTGTGGAGATTTACTACCAGGGACAATGGGGCTCTGTCTGTGATGACAACTGGACAGAACTCAACGCCCAGGTAGTGTGTCGACAGCTGGGCTTCAGGTCAGTGCATTATTACGTCTGAGTCACCATGCCTCTATACCTTAGCAGCTTGTGAATTGTACTATCCTGTGGTCTCTTGTGTGCTGCCTTGTTTGCAGATGATCATTCTTACAAAGCACTAATAGTTCCCTTTTTTGAAGTATAAATGAAAATATATATTTTTTAAAACCCACCAAGGTTGGGGAACATACTCACAATTCATAGAGTCAGGTGAATAACTATAGTCCTGCCTTGTATGTAGCTATGGTAGCAGCCAGCTAAACAAGGGAAACCAGATGCCCGTCTCCCTAACCTGCAATTTCTGGGGGGTCCGTTTTGGCTTTGACACTTCTCATCATTTGATCATGGTGGTTAAAGGAGCAGCAGTTTTACTCGTTCCTGCTTAATTCCTACTCACTGGGTCCCTCTGAACTACTTTAGGATGTATTCACATCACCCTAAAATAAGCAAGAAATGTACACAGAATGAATAAACCAGCTTTAATCGTTCATAAAAAAAGGTCATTTTTGTTATTGCTTAATTTCGTTACTTTAACCTGTTTCACAGATAATACAATAAGAAGCAGAAACATTTCAAATATTTATCAAATACAATTTGTCAGTGGCAGAACAATTCAGTGTGTCATTTGAATGTATATTTTGAAGTGAGATCCATTAATATAATTTCCATTCTTTTAAAAAAAATATGCCACAAATTATTCCTACAAATTACGCAACACTCTTCTCATAACCAAGATTATTGCATTATGAATGTAGAAAACAAAATATCAGTACATGCAGCTGCAGATTATTACTAAATGAAATTTTAAAAGTTCACAATTTAAATGTGATGTGCAGGTTACTAATCAATTTGCATGTGCATGTTAGGCTAATTATTTCAGGGAAACATGCAGAGTTATGTTGGAGGACATTACTACACCACTGTAGAAACATGCACTCTTATTATTTGTACATCACACAATCTGTGCAAATACAAACACCAAAGCATACAGAGCAGTTAAACCTGCAGATTGGCATCTAAATCAGTTGTGCCACTGTCATCAGAAAATAATACTGCTTCAGATGATAGTTTTAGAGGAAAGGAGGTCTCTCTAAAACAATCACATTTTTCTGTCTTTTTTTTATTAATGTTTTACAGGAGAAGGACTAAGACACAAATACAGGAAACAAGGCAACATTCAAGACAACTAAATACACATAACCAACACATTGGGAACTTGCTATTTTGTTTGCTCTAGATATTCACAGCAAACTATATGGCCAATGGGTCCATTTGTTATATATTATATCAAACACAGAAGTGAAAGTCTTGTCAATAGATAGTGGTTGAGGAAAGGTCATGTAATGACCTCATTCGACAGAGTTTGAGTGAATAGCATGAATATGTTTAGTACTTTTAATGCTAAATTTACCCATTATGTCAGTGTCATTTGCTGAATTGCTTTACAAGCTTTGAAATGCACGTGGAGCCAGAACAAAATCAAAGAAGCGGAGGGAAAAAAATAAAAATACTTACCACATATCGTAATCGTTACAGTGGCAAAAAAAAAAAAACGAGGCCAGAGTGTGAGACAGACAGAGCAGCCATCTAACGTGACAGTCAAAAAATCTAACACATGGTTACATATCCACTGTCTATTTCACCAAACTAAAATCAACCTGTAGAGGTTGGTGCAAATGAAAGCATCCTGACACAAACCTTGCACATGGTTTCATATTACCAATCAAATCATTTTAAGACAATCAAACATTGAATGTGTTTATTGGGTTATAATGAACAGACTCAATTTCGCCTGCATTTGCTATATTCTTAGTATTTTGCGTCATAAGATCCTGTAAGAGTGGTGCTGTCAGTACATAGTAATACAGGGTTTCTATGTGTTTTCCACCAAAGTTCTTAATGTTGAGAAAGCATGCATGCAGCTTTAAGTCCATAGAAAACCCAGTTTGCAATCTACACAAATTTAATCAAACCTCATTAATTCTGTCCCATAAAAATTACTATCCATACAGAGATGGCACACATTTCTGAAGTTATGCCTTGTCCACAGGGGCAGAGCAGTGGTGGCTCCTGATGGTGTGTATGAAGAAGGTCATGGGCTGATCTTGCTGGATGAGGTGCAGTGTCAGGGAACAGAGGCCAGTTTGCTGGGCTGCATCCATTCTGAATGGGGCCAACATGACTGCTCACACAGTGAGGATGTAGGCGTCCACTGTGAGAGGGAAAGCGATACCAAGACGATTCCAAGCATTTCCCCTTTTACTGGTAAGTACTCACATTGGTGGCCAAGCCAGCTGACAGTCTTGGCTGGGCAAGATAATCTTCCTGATGTTGTACAGGGCGAATCGACACAGCCGAGCAACAGAGGCTACATGAGCCTTGAAGGTTAGTTGGTCATCAATCATGACATCCAAGTTTCTGGAAGATTTTGTGGATTTGAGTTGGGTTGAATCAAGCTTGATGTTGATTTCTTGTTGTAGAGAGGGACTGGGATAGCAAGGAGCTCAGTCTTAGAGAGCTTGAATTGAAGGTGGCATGTTTTCACCCATGTCGAGATGTCTGCAAGGCATGATGAGATCCAGGCGAGACCGTGTGGTCCTCAGGGGGGAATGACAGGAAGAGCTGGATATCATCAGCATAGCAATGGTATGAGAAACCATGGGCCTGGATTATTGCACTGAGTGAGGTTGTGTGTATTGAGAAGAGAAGGGGACCAAGCACTGACCCTTGAGCAACCCCTGTGGAAAGGTTGTGTGGTTCGGACACTTCTTCCCTCCAGGATACTCCGAAGTATCTTCCTGAGGGGTAGGACACAAACCAAACCAACCTACTTCAAAGGAGAACAGCAAGCATGATAGGCAAAATAAGGCCTTTTTTGAGCTGCTATACATTATCGAGTCCCTATCATTTTTTTTCCTGTCCATTGTGTGATGTGGAATATGTCAAATAGTATGGGAATGCCCTGCCCTCTGCATCTGCTTGCCCTCTCTGAGAATGGCGTTGGTTTTGCTATTGTATGTACCATGTTCACTCTGTCAGAGTCGGTCATTTTTGTTGCACATAATGCAGGATCGCTAAAATTTGGGCCCCCTCCTGTTCCACTGTGACTCTCTCTCCGTCTCTCTCTCTCTCTCTCCCTCTTTTCTCTCACCGGTAGCCTGGTTCTGACCCTCTGCTCCGGGGCAGCAGGCTCCTCCCGCATTACTCTATCTGTCACCTGAGTACAGCTGGATCTCTCTCCTCTCTGTCTCATTCTTCCTGACGGAGCTACCAAACTCAACTGTTTCTGTCTAAGACAACGTGTTGTGTCAGGCTTTTATATTTAATGGATGTTAACATTAGAGCTGGCCAGTTAGGTTACATTACGAGGCTGGTAAACGTTTGGTGTGCTGTTTCTTACCTTGCTCTACGTTGACTTTACTAGTCCCAGCTTTGCCGTCACCACCTTTTTAAAAAAAATTTTATTGAGTAAATCTCTGAGGCCTGTATTTTCTTCTTCTCTTCTTTTCTTTTCTTTTCTTTTCT